AATATTGACGTAGCCAAGAATGGAAATTGTTAGAGAGGAGTATCTCCTTGCAGTGAAAATGGCATTTAATATGATATTTGAAGCGCTTGACATTTTACTGTAATATTACTGCCCATATGTTATAATACTTAAATCTGGACATAATTTTATTAGTCTTTCTGATTATATAATAAAATAAAAATCAATTATATGTAAATGTATACATAACATAAAATTGATTTTTATAGAAATTTCAACACATAGGCACACTTAATCATTTTTTATCGTAAGCCAGAGATTCGTCAGCGTAAAGTCTGTTTATTACGGGATATAATATTAAGGCTTCAAAAAAAATCGCTTCTTTTGAAAAAATTTTATGGAAAAAAATATTTGATTCTAATGAAACTTTTAGGTTTTATACTTATATATTTCAGCATTCTTATTTTTTTTCATTAAAATATGCGTTATAATATGCCGGTTGCAAGCATTTTGCCAAGGTGCCACGAGCGGGCATGTGTCGTTTGGCGGGAAAGATGCAGTTCACAATTTCCATCCGAAACAAAAAAAAAACGAATCAAATTTATATTTTCAATAGTATAGACTCTAGTTAAAACTGAAAAATTCAGAAAAATGTGAGAAATTCATCAATTTTTTGCAATTTAAAAAAAATCATGTTTTTTTTTGCTGATTTTCAATTTAGATTATTTAAAAAGTGGGTCAGTTATAACTTATTTCAAATTTTTTTTGGGTTCAACTAGAAAAAATTCAATTCTGAATACAATCAATTTTGTCTCGTTTCGATAGGATCTTCAGTTTTTTCTTATCTTTCCCGCCAATTAGGTAAAATCGAAAAAATGAAAAACCGAGAAATTGCGCGTAGAAGTTTCCGTTCCGCTCGAATACATGCTCGACGTTTGCTTACTATTTCTTCTGTAACTCCAAAAATAATCTAAATTTGCTTCTGAAAATTTAGACATATATTCCTGATCCTGGTTAGTTTTGGAAAACATTTTTGAGAAAAAAAACGACGCGGTACGGTGATTCCAAGTATTTCAAAATATTTATTTATACGAAACTATGAAACACACAAAAGAAAATTGTGATAAACTGTACACTGTGTAAAAAAAATAGTCACAAACGCGGAGCCAGCTTGTACAACTTTGGCTCAACATTTTCGAATCTAAATCGTGAGTCAAGAGGTTAACAATAATATATACAAGTTCTGATATTTTTATAATATATCAAACATTGTTAAAATTAATATATCTAGAAGAGTAAATAAAACCAGATGACACAAAATATCGCACAAAAATATACTTTAAACTCATGTATTTGAAATGTTTTTATGTAAGAGGATAGTCTTTTATCGTAAGATGTTATTCTCCTAATAAAAACAGAGCTTGCGAAATATTTACCTTTTATTTTATTTATTTTTTCCATTTTATAAGCTCTTTTCTACATGGATGTCAATTTCGAAATAGAAGCGCATGTGTATTCCTGTAGATACTCTGTATGTTATTCTACGTCCATTGAATAAATATTAGTTTTGAATAATTGACCGTGCAGAGGCAATAATTTTCATTCCCTTTAGCAAACTGGTAATAATAATCGTAGCACCACGAACAATGCGGTTTGATGTTTAACAGGATTTAAGAGAAGCACATTTAAGCAAAATTGCTGATTTGCAATAATATTTGCTAACGAAATATAATTTAGTACAACACATGAGTAATGTAAATTGGGTTTACAATTTCTCATTGTCTGAAAAGTTCGAAATGGTTCCCATCTGAATTAATTATATCACGACACAAAATTTGGTTTCAATAATAATTTTCGTTTCGTCATAACTTGCCTCCACATCTCTTTGTAATCTAATTTATTGTTTTTGGTGTAGTAGATACGGTTGCACCAATTGGTGGTTACAGTTTGTGACTTAAAGATTTTAGTAGAAGAGTCAGTGAGCTATTTGACTAACCTGTTTTCTGAGAGCTAGAATTTGTTTTAATGATATTTTATTATCGACCCATTAAGAAAGTACCATTCTGGCAGTCATTCCGCGGTTGCGTCATCATCCCATCAATTTGTGAAAATGACAAAAAAAATTCATTACTTGCTCCCAATTTTGAGGGTGTATTCTCTTAACTGTTCAGAAAGCATATGTAAAAAGCCAGCCCATTCTGACAGTTGCAAGGGTCTGCCAGTCGAGTACATAATAATCACGATCATAATCACAATCGTTGCCATACATAATCGACTAACACCCTTGTATTTAAATAATTTATACACCATTTTGAAGGTCTTTTTAAAAACATCCGATATACCAAAACGTTATGGCCGAGATATCATTAAAAATATGCCAAAGTGGCCCCTTTTCAAACTCAATTTTTGGCATAATCATAAAAGATATCGAAAAAAATATGTGATTCTACTCATATTGGCTTAGACCACATGATGTATTTTATATATGCTAAATAATCCTTTATTTTTAGCTGAGAAGGATAAAATAATTTTTCAATTAATATTTTCGGATAGTGCGTTTTGTTTAATTACTTTAGTATTTAGCGTTATTCAAAAGCCTATTGTTTTTTCTTCTAGTACTGCAAATATCGTTCAAATCAAATTTGTGAAAAACACTGAAAAATTGTACAAACCAGAACCAGTACACACGCGGTCGATAATAAAATATCATTAAAAAAAATTCTAGCTCTCAGAAAACAAGTTAGTCAAATAGTTCACTGGCTTTTCGACTATTTGCTTTAACTTGATATAAAGCAACAATAACATTTTTTTCAACAATCATTCAATAATTCGGGGCAAAAAGCAGATCAAAACCGTTTACTAGAACTTTCTTATTATTGTTTCTGTCAGTTCATGAACTTGCTCTTAGGCAAAATTGTATATTATTCATGCATATGCGTGATTAGTTTGTCATCACTTGGCTTGTAAAATAAACATGATTTGATCAATTTCGCATTGAAAATTCAATATTGTGTATTTGAATATTGCCAATCGTGAGTACTAACTATCCTTCAATTATTTAGTTTTCTAGTAGGTAATAGTAGGTAATAGTAGTAAATAAATGCTGATAAAATATTGAAATCAAATTTAAAAATAAATTAATTTTAATTTTTGATCTAAGGTAAACGAAGCATAATAATTTAATGAATGACGATTCAGTTACTTAGAAACTTCTCTGTATATTATGATAATTGCAGTAATCACATCTGATAAAAATATCATTATTAATAATTGTGGCTTCGAATTATAATTTTGTTTGAATATTTTATATTTCTCTTTTTGCTACAGTTGCAATATATTTGTGCTGTTTTTATCTTGCAATATTTGTAACTTCAAAATATGAATTGTGTTGCGTTTTTATATTGTTTCTTGTGTTTTGCATGCATTTCATATAAATGCACAAGAATGTACAGGATGTCTTGTTCCTTTTGAGTTTATAATGACATATGCTTCTCAAGTAAATGATTGCATAATTGTTTCTTGAAATTCAATATTACTATGTTGCTATTTAAAATGAATTAGTATTTCATATATCAATTGTATGGCTGCAGTTTTTTCATTTTGATTAGTAAGTCTAAAATTTACAATTACTCTTTATATTACTATCACTTTTGGAAGGGGTTCTGCTGATTACATAATCCAAAATATAATGTAATTTGCATTGTTCGTCAAATATTTAACTACAAAACTTTAACAAAAATATCATGTACCTAATCACCAGTAGAGTCTATTTCAACTGCAATCTGAGTAAAAGTCCTGCAAACATATTAGGTTGTCAAATATCTCCCTTCCGCCTTTTTGTATTATAAACCAATATAAACCAATAGCAAAAAAGCGGAAGGGAGATATTTGACAACCTAATATTTTAAATATCTATAAATATTTGAGTGGTCCTTAATTATAATATGTTTTCGAATTTCTTTGAACTCAGTGGTTCAAGTGCTTCCAATTTGATAAAAAAAACTCTGAAACTCTAACCAAAGTTTCTTGGTTTTTCTTCCTATGTAAATACTTATTTTATAAAATATATCAAATTTTTGTTGTATTTTTTTAATTTATTATCGAAATAAGCAAATGCTATGTTATTCTCAAAATTTTGATTCGTTTGTCACAATAAGTTATTACATTCTAAAAAAAACAAATGGAATTTTACCCATGTTATATCTATAAGAAACTTTGGTTAGAGTGCAGACTATCTTAAAGTAAAGTAAAATATTAAGATCTAAAATTTTCAGAGTTTTTTTTATCAATTTGGAAGCATTTGATCCCTGGAAAAAAGAAATTCGAAAATATCCATATTAAGGACCACCCTAATATATATATTTATTAGCTATATAAGTCATAATAATTTAGAAATATTTATTTTATGCTAATGGTAGAATACTAATACAAGTTTATTTTATTTTAGATCCTATATAATTAGTAGATTGTTAGGCATATAAAATGATCATTATACAAAAAAATATTGCGCTTAAATTAGAATTATTCCAGCAATTCTTTAATGAACTGATCTATTTAAATTATCATTGTAGCTTTTAATTACCTTCATATGTTGGCTCAAAGTAAAAAATGATAGATTCTTGAAATCGTTTATTATTACATATATGATATTCTCCCGGAGTTGTAAAAGAATTGTACAAAAACTTGCATATTTTTACATAAAAAATACTAAGTAAGTACATATATATGAGATACCAGGAAGAACACAAATGAATTTAAATATTGTTATGTCAATAAAAAATAAATGAACAAAAGTAGAATTATTTTGTTCAATATATATAGTGCATATTCCAGTGGATTATTTAAAAAACAATTTCAATAAATTCAATAAATTATATTTCGAAATTGTCTTCAAAATCAACGTTAATTCTCAATCTTACACTATTACGATAAAATGATTGTATATGTCCTTACTCCAATTCGCTGAGCTATTACATGTAACAATGTTCTACCTACATTGAGTAGAAAGCTTTTAGTTTCCTGACACTTGATTTAAATTGCAGTTGGCGATTTTCCACGTGTCCAAAGGACCTTTCTGGGAAGATTTTCATCAATGCGTCACTCATGGATTCTACTCAGAACAGTGGCAGGAGCAGCTGTATACCAGCCTGTCACTGGTGACAATGTTCATATTACCGTTACTGGTATTGGTCTGCACATACGTGTCTACAATCATTACAATTGCCAGTAAGTTATTTTTATTATAGTTTTAAATATATATATATATATATATATATATATATATATATTAGGGCGGGTCGATTTGTATGGGTAAACAAAGTCACATAACCACATATGATTTTCATATACTGAGGATCAAAATAAGATACTTTGCCGAAGAAACCATATCTCTAAAATGAATTCTGATGTCCTGTGCATTCACCCAAAGATTGGGTCAAATTTTAACTAGTTAGTATTCGTATTTAGCCTTGAGGCAAGTTACATGAACTTTCCGATATGTGTAAATAATCGACTTAATCAATAATAAGCAAATTGATTTATGAGTGATTACAAGTATTCCGAGAGGATTTATTACATATAATTGAAACGAACACGTTAACTAGGAGTATTTTCCAATAGCAAATTTTCACAAATCAATAATTTTTATAATTGAACCAGTTTTAGTAAGACGTTAATGGTTTAGTATTTTCATTAAAACCAAGTAATCTATCGTTATACCAAGTAAATCGTCTAATTTTAATTTTAACAAACGTCAACAAAACTACTCATTTTCTCAAACTTTGATGAATTTTTAAAATTAAACTACTTGTCGTAAGGCCATAATATTTCAGTAAGTTCTATAAGACCATGATATATATCGCCAAAAAAGCTTCCATAGAAATCGACGAAATTTTTTTTACAACAATTAATTACAAAAAAACGGCTCGGTAGATTTTCACCTAAAACTAATCAGTATCATTCCCAACTAATATCTTTCGAACAGTTTTTGATTTTTTAAAATCGATTTGGTAGTATGAGCTCAAATGCGGATGAAAAGTTTAACACTTTTTTTTCAAATTACAAAGAAACGGCTCGGCAGATCGTCTCACAAAACTGACAAACTATAGTCCTAATTGAGATACATCAAATTACTTAAATTTATGAAAGCGGTTCAGGCGTTTTTGAGAAAACGACGATCAAAGTTATAATTTTGACAAATGCCAAAAAAACGATATTTATTTTTGCAAACTTAGACGAATTTTCAAAATTAAACGACTTGTCGTAGGGCCATAATATTTTAGTAGGATCTACAAAACTATGGTATCTGCCGTCAAAAAAAATCATAAAAATCGTCGAATTTTTTTTTTAAACTTTATTACAAGAAAACGGCGCGGCCGATCTTTACCAAAAACTAATCAGCACGATTCCCAATCAATAGCTTTCGAACGGTTTTTGAATTTTCAAAATCGATTCATAATTGCGGGCTAAAACGTGGACGAAAAATTTTTCACTTTTCTAATTATGATCAAAATAAGCATACAATGTTGTTCTCAAAATTTGGATTCATTTGCCTCAAAGTTATAAAATTATTTGAACAAATTAAAATTTTACCCACATTATCTCCATAAGAAACTCAATACTTAGTGAATGAAAAATAAAAAAGATATGTTAATAAAATATGAGATATATGTAATTCAATATGGATAACTTTTAGCACAAAAATTCGTTATTACTAAAAATATTTATTTTTTCTTTAATTTATAATAATTGTTTCAAATGAAATAAATTTTCATGTTGGTTGGTGAGTTTTCTATATGTACATAAATAAGTTTTATAAATACCTGTATATCAATATATTTTGACTTGAATTCCGCATTGACCTCTAAAATTATTGTGCAGGAGTACTCCGTTCTGAATTTTACATTTATCTAGATTAAAATTTGTAATTATTCATGTTAATGACATATTCACTATAGCAAATTCTTGTAAAGTTTACACGATGTAAACATATTGTGGTCTAAATTCAATTGAAATATATGTAAATATGTAATTTAATTAAATCTATGCAAATTACTATTTACTGTTTTTAAAAGATAATTATTCTATATTAAGTCATACTCATCGTTTTAACTATATATATATATATATATATATACACTAGCTTACCCGGCCACGCTTTACTGCGGCTTTTATTATAATCCACTGGATTGAAATTTTAAGCTTATGAAAACGGTATTTTCGAAGAAATTTATTACGTTTCACAATGGTATAATTTTGACGTGTATTTCCTTTAATAGTTATAATAGCAAATTTAGAAATGGATGAAAAATCTACTCAAATAACCTTAAAAAATCAATAATTCTAAAATTTAAAAAAATTAGTCGCATGTATTAAAAACGTGTGTGTACAACAGTAAATATTAAATTCTAAAATATCTATTGAAATGCAAGAATTTATGAATATAATCTACATAAATTCTTGTAATATGGACATCGTTGACAATCGAATACCAAACGAAGCTCGATTGTTTTTCCAATTTCAATTTGAAATTTAATTTTATTCATTAGAGACCATTTTTCTTGATTGTAATATGCATCAGAGAAACTTATGTAGTCGAAGATTTGTTTGTTTATGTCGATTTGGTTATTTCTAATATTTTTATATGTATTATATTTACTGTTCATGTAGGAAATTTTATCAAATGAATGCAATACATTGTTAATTATTTTCAAATGTAGTATTCGCCACGAATAGAACTTGTTCGTGAATAACGTGTTTAAATGTGTGAATAAAATTAACCAATAATATGAATTATATTGTATAATACTATTCTATAGCTATTTGAGTCAGATTTTTTAGCCTGATAGAAATATTATAGTTTATGACGTACTACATAAAGTGAAAAAATAAATTATTTCTGAAGTTTTTGTGATAGCTCAATTTACACGGTTCTTCCCTACTGTAGTGACAGTTGTATTAACAAGTATTAGCTAAACTATACTAATTTTACGATATGGTCCAAAAAGAGAAAGATAAAGTATGATTGATTGTTCGAACAAGTTTCCATTATTGCATGAAGTCAGGTCGGCCCCCTACAATAACATGATCTGTAGATCGCATTGCTTTTGAAGAGTTAAGGGGGTCTTCCTATGTGACGGCCTGTTTTTTAGGGATATTTTAGGTTTTTTTTTCTTCAAGCTTCAAGTTTTTTATCATTTATTAACACATATTTGGACAGTATAAATATAAAATTTCAGCTAAAAATATTCAGTCAAACTAGAGTTACAGCGCTCTGAACACCCCCGCCTCGAAAAAAATAACTCCCACTTCCTCCACGATTCCGGCTGATCGGCTTATCTGAAAAAAAAAAAATAAACGGCGTTTTAATTTGTAGGCTTAAAAGCACGGAATGACCTATAATCAAATATAAAGAAAATTGGATTTTTGATAGACATTTGAAATAAAAGTTGCAAATTAGGCGTTTTTTATGTATTTATGTATGTATGGCTACAATTTTTTGTCCACATTTTCGGGCGCACGGATTAACCGATCTGAATGGTTCAAAAAAACATTCGATTCCTATTGATAGCGAGACGTGCTGATTAGTTTTTTGCAAAGGCAGTTCGAACCGATTTGAATGGTCGAAAAACATTCAATTTGTAATGATGGGGAGAAGTGGTGATTAGTTTTTGACAAAGGCAGGTCCAGCCGTTTTGGAGATACCAGGCAAAATGCTCAAAAAAGGCAGTTTTTGAGAGAACTAAGCATCCGATTTGAATGATTCAAATAACTTTCAGCTTGTTTTGACAAGATTATTGCTTTTGGGAAAATATTTGTTTCAAAATTTATTTTTCCAATTTTTTTTTCTCAGATTTTTTTTTTCTTTTCGAAAATAATTCAGATTTCAATTTAAATCCTGGCTAAAGTTCTAAAGCTCACTTATATTCTTTAAATAAATAATTTTAACTTTGTAATTAAGTTTATATAACTCTTATAAATATTAGACAATGTAGTATTTATAATAATTTATATGAAAACATTTATGTAATATTTCTGAAAAATTTTGTTACGGTACGGAAAGTTCCAGCAATTTGCCTTAAGGCCGCACGATGCCATACACAACTAGTTTTACTACAAGTTAACCATCAGTAGTAGTTTACTACCAACAATGCGTGGGAACGGTTGGGAGTGTATTTCTTGTATTTTCGAAATTTTTCATCATTTTTTAAAAAAAACTAAATTTTGAATAATTTCAGAAAATATCACAATTTCAAAAAAACGAATTCTTACAAAAATTTGAGAATATTTCAAAATTTCCAAATTCTCAAAAAATTTAAAAAAAAGCTTTTTTTAAAAAAAAAAACTTCTGAAAAAATTTCAGTTTTGAAAAAATTTCTATCAAAAAAAAAATTTAAAAAAAGAACAAATTTCTTTGTTATTTTAAAAGTTATTTGTAGAATTCGCTCGTCGCCTAATTTAAAAAGCACTTACAAGTTTAAGTATGTATTTATTTATAATAAATAGTCAATTCGAAATCATTCAAAACAAGTACTTATTATTTTTATTGCTCGCATGTTTAATTGCGGTACGGAAAGTTCCAACAATTTACCTTAGGGCACGACATGCGTCCCACTAGTTTTAATTAAGATAGATGATCAAAAATTGGCACACCGTACCCAGTCTTCCCTATATTTGAAAGGTCTCACATTACCAAAGCATCAACATGCAATTTTTTTTATCAATATGCTGAATCAATTATGTGACAGCATAAAATATCTTAGACCACATGCTTGTCTCGATATTGAACTTTCCTTGTCATTACGATGTCAAACTAGAAATCACTTTTATTTCATACTACTAGGGAGAACATAAATAATAAATTTATAATGTATGTGACTGGTAAATCACTAAAACTTGGCATTTACATACATCTAGGCTTTTAGACGATTTTGTCGTACTACGTATTTATTCTTGAAAAATGTCAGCTACTTAAATGACGTATAAAGTGCCTGTTGGAGAGAATCGCCTTGAAACGTCATAGTTATGAACAGCACATTTTCTTTCATCAATTGATTTAAGAAAATAGAATAGCCTGAAATCGAATGGAAAATATTGTATTTTATCTACAAAAATTAAATCTGATAACTAGGTGTAAGTGGCATGTTGGCCTTCATGCAAGTTGCAAAAAACTTCCGAATGAATTGAATAAAATGGCAATGAATTCAAATTACAAAACTTTTAAAATT